TTTCCTTGGGGCAGTTTAAAGAGCACTTCCCATGTGTTATTACAGTGGCCACTACCAATGAAGTGCACACACCCCACCGCTCCTGGCAGGAGAGAGCTAGAAGCCCCATGTGGGTGTCAGGGTTATCGCTCCACTTTTTCATGATCCTGCTCCGAAAGGCTGGAGACACTTCCTCCCCTACTGGGTACCCACCCCATTCCCTGGGGCAGCGCAACTCAGAGGTAGGAGACTGAGTCCATTTGTGGGGGGGCTTTGCAAGGCTCTTCCGGAAGCTTAGGGACCTCTCTGATCAAACGACCCACCCTTTCCTCTTTCGAAATCCCAGAATCTGAGGTGGGAGTGGTCAGGCCGGCTCTAGGGCCAGTTGGTGTGTAGTGAGCGGCTGGACACTCCTATAAATCGTAGTTCGTTTGATCCCTGGGTGTTGGGTCTAAGCCGGCAAACCTAGAAGCAGCAGTCGAACAGGCGATGGGCCTCTACAGCCCTCACCTGCTGTGGCTGAGCTGCGGGTAAGTGCTCTCTTGTCAGTCAAGGAACTGTCCAGCCAGAGGCACTTTTCTAAGTCTCGACAGACCGGGTCCCAATGGCTCTTTCAGAAGCCTCTAATCCTTGCGGCCAGCACTGGAAATGGATGCTTACAAAATGCGGGAGAGGCGCCGGTGTGCCTGAATCCTAGGCTCCAGATCACGCAGCTAGGGAAGGAGGGACAGGCCCTGGGGTCCCAGCACCGCCTAGGGGCGGGAACACCACGCTAAGTCGAGGAAAGGATGGGGAGGCTGCAGGGCCAAACTCAGTGCGACTCCCAAGTCATTCACTGGGAGGGCCTCTGCAGGAAAGAAACGTGCAGAAGTAGCAGCCGCCAACCCGCGGGTTGGGTGGACGCCCGACACCCGGCGCGGGGCTCACTGGGTGGGCGGGGCTAGGGCGGGGCCAAGGGGAGACAGCACTTGGTGGGCGGGGCCAGGGCGAGACCAAGGGGAGACAGCACTGGGTGGGCGGGGCTAGGGCGGGGCTAGGGCGGGGCCAAGGGAGGCTGAGCCAGCTCTGGAGAAGTTCTCTCTTCATCTCTCGTCCCCCTTGAGCATGCTGCCTCCTCTCCCAGCCCCGTTGTCTCCCTGTCACCTTTCAGGAGCCATTCTCTGCTTCAGCCCCAAGTCCCAGGCTCCTTTTTTTTTTTGCCACCCTCGTCCCCGCCGGGTTCCAACCCCCGGGACCCGAACGTTACGAGGCCCCGCCTAGCCTGCGAGCTCGGAGCCAGCCTCTCTGTTAGTTTCCCCAGGTGAGCTCCAGGCTCCTTCCTCCCTTCTCCACCCACCGCCGAGCTGGTGCCCTATTTATCCTCTCCTCCCTCCCCGCTCCCAGACACCGAGGGGCTTTGGCAGTTGTCCGCCTGCGGGCCCTGCGGACCGCGCGAGCCCACAGAGAGTGAGACGGGGCTCACGCAGGCAGCAACGCGGCGTCGACAGCGGGGGCGCCGGGCGGGGACCAGTAAGCGAGGCGCAGGAATGGAGGCGGGCGATGGCCTGGGCGTCCGAGGTGCTCGGCCGCCCGCGCACCACAGTGCGTCTTAGGGTATTCCTTCGCTGACGTGCGGCCCCGGTGACCTTGACTGCCCCTTCGTCCCGCGGATCTCTGGAAAGGTGACGAGAGCCGCCATCGCGTTCGCCCACACCCAAAAGCCCGTTTCCGCCCAGCAGAGGAGCCAACAGCGGCGGCGGAGTCAAGGGGTGGGTGGCTTGAGCCTCCTCCCACCCCGTCTCTATTAAGCTTCCTAAATAAGTGTAGAATGTAATTTTATGGTGTGCAAACCTAGTCTCCCATCTCTTTAAAATGAACTATGGCTTCTAAGTCCCTCGGATAAGAAATCACGGAGCCGCCGCTGTCACCAACCTCTGCCTCAGGAGGGCGGCCCCAGGACCACGGTCTCCGCAGGATCTCAGTTTACGGAGTCGCGGGCCGAAAGGCGCCGAGAACCACTGGTCACAGGCTCGCGGCGTCTTCCCCCTCCGTGGTTGGACGGCGAAGAGAGGACGCCCGTCCGGGAGTCGGCGGAGCCACGGGGAAGGGGCGGCTCCAGCGCCCCTCCGAGTTCAGCCTTCGGCGCTGCGCGGAGCGCGCCCGGGGCCCTGCTGCTTAGCGCCCGCCGCCCACCAAGGAGCTGGGAGAGCCCGCCGTCTGGCTCGGAGAGTCTGAGGCCGCTGAGGGGCACGCGGCGACAGACGGGACCGAAGGGGTCTCGGCGCTGGGCCCCGGGGTAGCGGCGAGGGCCGGGGCTCCACCTGCGGCTTTTGCGCACATTTTAGCTTCCGGCTGGGAGCTCCCTCCCCAACGCTCAGCGTCGGGGTCGCAACCTTCTCCCGCGAGTGCGCACCCAAGCGCTGTATGCGCGGGCCTGGGGTCCCAAAGTCCCTGGGTCTGACTGGGGGCCCCGTTTCTTACTCCAGGGTGGGGAGCCGTCGCCCAGCGCCCGTGTCCTCACTCGACGCCTGGAGAGCACGCTGCTGAACCGCTGGGGTGGCGTCCAGGGGAGCCTGTCGGGCCCACCTGAGGCGACGGGACCTCAGGCCGCGGCCGAGAAACTGGAGAGCCGCTCCACGGCGACCGGTGGGGCCGCGGGGCCGCGGGGAGAGGTGGGCGTGCTGCCAGCCATCCTTCGGCTGCTCCACAGGTGGAGGGGACGACTGCACCTCCCCTCTGCAGGCCGGCTGCTCACTGCGGGACGGAGACGGGGCGGAGGGCGGCCAGGGCTGCGCTTGGCTGGGCCGCAGCCAGCGGCCTCGAGGGTGGCGGAGGGGCCTGCACTGCAGGCAGAAGCGACTGAGGCCACGGGAGTAGGTGCGCCCTTGGCCTGGGCAGATGGGCAGCCCCCAGGGTGAAGTGAAGGTAGAGCCTTAGAACAGGCCGAGTTTCTCAGAAGAATGAATGGGCCAGAGCAGAAAGAGTAATAGATCTTAGAAAAAGAGTGAGAAAAGGGAAGGAAGGGAGGGAGGGAGGGAGGGAGGGAGGGAGGGAGGGAGGGAGGAAGGAAGGAAGGAAGGAAGGAAGGAAGGAAGGAAGGAAGGAAGGAAGGAAGGAAGGAAGGAAGGAAGGAAGGAAAATGTTAGATAAGTTGCAAGTCACACTTGCAGACAGCACTCCTTAGATTTTCAATGAAATCCAGGACCTTTTTATCACAACAGGTTCCCTTCTTGTTCTGCAGTAGTCACAGGTGGCCACATTAGCAAGCTAAGCAGACAAGAAGAAAGGCAGAAATCATTTAAATCAGTAGGTCTCAAAGTGTGGTCCCCGAGACAATGGCATCAGCCCCTCTGCAACCTACTGAAATAAATGATCAGAAATGCCAACTCTCAGCCCCTCTGCAACCTACTCAATGAGAAACCCTAGTGTTATCCTGGTGGGGTAGCTCAGCTGGTCAGAGCACCGTCCCATACCATACACCAAGATTTCAGGTTCATTCCCAGGTCAGGGCACATTCAAGAATCAACCAATGAACGCATAAATAAGTGGAACACCAAATAGATGTCTCTCTCTCTCTCTCCTCCCTCTCTTTTTCTTCTCTCTCCCTTCTGTCTCTAAAGTTAAAAAATAAATGTTAAAATTTTTTAAGGAAAAGAAAAAAACTCTAGGGAAGGGTAGAAATCTGTGTTTTAATCAGTCCTCTAGGTGATTCCAATACGTTTGAGCTTGGAAACCACTGGTGTAAAGAAACAAAGCCTTGGGGTCTGTCTGGGCTATACTGTTTATAAATACCGTATTTGGGGGGCTATAAGATGCACTTTCCCCCCAGATTTGGGAGGAAAATGGGGTTGTGTCTTATAGTCCGAATGTAGCTTACCTGGCTCTCTGGGGAACGGGGCGGGGGGGAGGGGGAGGCAGTGGAGCCGGGTCACAGGTTATTAAATATCTTATCACATTTTTTGCTTCAAAAAATTTTTTCCTATTTGCCTTTTCTAAAATCTAGGTGAGTCTTATGGTCCAGTGCATCTTAAAGTCCTAAAAATACGGTAGTTTGTATACATCATCTCCCATTATATACAGCCTCTCCCATTTACAGCTGAGGACATGGGACCAGAGGAGTCAGATGGACAGGAGGTGTCCCAGCCAGCCTGAGACAGTCCTACAGGTTCCAGCTGAATACTCCCTCCCACCTTTCTGGCTCCTGGCTCCCACCTGTGAACCGGCAGCACCTGTGTTGTGATGCTAGCATAGAGGAGGCCACATGCTGGGATTCCGGATTTCTGCTGGGAGACTCCAGCTTCCCCACAGTTTTTTTTTTTTTCTTTTTTCAAACATTTTATTTATTTATTTTTAGAGAGATGGAGGAGGGAGAAAAAGGAGAGAAATATCAATGTGTGGTTGCCTCTTGAGTGCCCCCTACTGGGGACCTGGCCCGCAACCCAGGCGTGTGCCCTGACTGGGAAATGAACCAGACCCTTTGGTTTGCAGGCGGGTACTCGATCCACTGAGCCACACCAGCCATGGCTCCCCACTGGTCATAAGCCATTGCCAGCAGTGAGGCAGCTGTGTGCCCCTTCCTCCTCTATCACTTTCTATTTCCGGGGGTGATACCTCAGAGATGGACTTGCTCTCTGCTAATAGGGAAGATGGTGTATCCTTTCTACACCCCAGCAGTGAGCTCCACCTGCAGCCTCTGGCAGGTATTAGCCCCTACCCCACAGCTTTCAGTCTGACCTAGCCTTTTTCCTCAATCCCTGAGCCCACTCCCATCTGAGCCAGGAACTTTGCACAGTGAACTACCTGCTTCCTGCACAACACAGAAATACTTAGGAACTTGGCTGTCTGTATGGGGCATTCTGGGGCGATTTTCAAGTATTTCCTTACTATGAATTCTCAAATACTTGCAAGCTCAAAGATTCCAGAAAAGGAAGTATCCAGGCCTGAGAGAAGTCCCCGAAGACCTCCCACCCACCCTTAAATGCCTGGCTTTGCTCCTTGTTTCAAAGTCCAGGGCTAGAATTATCTATGGGGCTGGCAAAAGTATGTATGTGTCCCCCACAGCTCCATCTTTAGTTCTTTTACTCATAATCAAGGAGAACCATGGAGAAGTGGAGATCCAACTGCATCTCAATTGAAGTCATTGCTTTTTGAAAGGCTGCCAATGGCAGGCGGGGTTCCAGCTGGCTGAATGCATGTTCCCAGAGGGCATGGAGCTAGCTGTTTGTAACATCCCCTGCATGCATTTGTTCTGCCTTTGTCTCCAGGGGCTCAGGCTGAGAGGAGCAGTAGGGTATGGCGAACATTGCTTGCTGTATGCCAGGCACTGTGTTGGGTGTGGGCAGGAGATTAGAGATGCATCCGTGCATGCTCTGCCTTTAGGGAGCACACAGTCTAGTGGTAGAGGCACTTTGTAGCTATCTATATATCTAGACATAGACATATATCAAAGTGACAGTTGCCATAGGGGAGGTAAAGTGTTCTAGGGGTTCTCAGGAGGGAGAGGTTGTGTTTGTCTAGGGTAAGTGGAAAAAGCGTCAAGGGAGAGTTAACACCCGATTGTGGACATGAACAAGAGTGTGGGGATTGCTGGGGGGAGGGACATAAAAAGACTAAATGGTGATGGGAAAAGTACAATAAAGATTTTTTAAAAAATGAATGAAAAGTTAACACCTGAGTTGAGTCTTGAGGCGGGGTAAGAACCTGGAGTAGAGGGACGAGAGAGGAGTGTCCCACTGGAGGTGTCTCTCTCCCTGGATCTGCCCACACCCCAGGCTCTGATCCTACTGGTAGCTGTGGGGGCAACATGTACACTGAGCCTCCTTATAGTGTGTGGGGTCCTCATTCTGGGTATGGATCACCCAGCAGATACGGCTGATTCAAGGCTGCCCACCTCTCCACTGAACTGTTTGGGGTCTCAGGGCCCATGGGGCTGATTTCAAGAGCCCCACTCCCTGCAGAGCAATGGTGAACTCCTCTGGGGTTTTAAGAGGAGCAACTGGGGAGGCCATGGGGAAAACATTTGTTTTAACTGGCATCTGAAGAGGTGTCCTAGGCAGGAGGAGGCAGAGCAGGGTGGCTTCTCCCACCTTCAGTGAACCACAGGAGTGGCAGGGCCTGTGGAGGACAAGGCTGCCAGGCCCTGGGTTCAAAGTGAGCAAGCTTCAGACATCCGCCATCAGGACAGCCCGACTGCTGCCAGATGGGGCTTGGCCCAGCCCAGTCCTGGACTCTACCTCCAGGGCTTTGTGATGTTCCCCCAGAATGTCATTCTGCTCAGATTAGTCTTCTGTCCCCTTTCTGAGAACCTATGCACTCTGAATCCCCCCTCCCACACTGTCCCCTGCTGTGGTGAGTTCTGGATCCCGGAGAGCAACTGCTGGCCCAGATACTTTGTATAGAGGAGATAGAGGCCAGAGCACTTCCAAGACAAAGGATAACTTGCCCAGGGTCAGATGTCACCCTCAATTCTGGGATAGTAGGGACCCTAGGATCTGATTCCTTTGGAGCAAGAGCTGCCTCCACCTCAGAGTGTCTGCCAGAACCGAAGGGGGAGCTTCATACTGACTCCCACTCCAACCCTGAGCCCATACCTTTTCTCTTTTTTGCCCCAGCTCTGTGCCAATCAACATTGCCTCTGCAGGACTTATACCTGAGACATGCCATGATGTAGAGAAAGCTCAGACTCTCAGATAGGGCCAAGGAGGGGATGGGGGGAGGGAGGTAAAGGAGACTAGACTCTCCAGGACCCTTCCCCAGGCTCAGCCACCCACTCCCTTCCAACCTGTCCTCATGGAGAGACCTGGGCTATGGTGCCTTTGGAGAGGCCTGTGAAGGTCTGGTGATTGGCCTTCCTGGGTGGCTATCAATGTCAGAGGGGGTGGGACTTCCAGCTGCGGGTAGGAGAGCAGGGTTCCATGGAGGGAGAAACGATTGCTGATGCCAGGGTCAACCCACCCTCCTGAAGCATCTGGGGAGCTCCTGGGAAGCTCAGGAGCTCTGTGCCCTTGTCCTCCCAGACCCTGCCAGAACTCTGCTCTCCACAGGAGGCGCCGACTTCCTCATGCAGGTGCTCTCATCAGGTGCACCTGGGGCCAGAGGCCCCGTGGAAGTAGGGGGAGAGGCCCCCAGAACTGCCTGCAGGAACAGCCTCTTTTCACCCTGGGGCTGAGAGGTAGCAAGAGACACAGTGGTCCCCTCCAGTTTTGTGGAGCCTAAAGCATGGTGTCTTTCCTTGCTGGTGATGGGGTATGTGTACCACCTGCCCAGCAAGGTCAGCCATCGAAACACTGGGCACCATGTGGGGCTCAGCCTCTGGGATGCCCCTCACCTAATTCTATCGGAGCTGACATCCGGGAGGACATGCAGAGTTTCCCAAGGCACGGCCGGCCCTATCTAGGGAGACCCTTCTCCCAGGCCCCTCTAAAGACCCTGTCCATGTATGCCACATCTGCGCAGGCTAACGTACTGCCTGCCCAACCCAGGCCAGCTGTCACCTCTGGTCATGTGGGACCTGCTCCAGCCCAGGGCTGCCACCACCTAAAGGAAAATCCCTTCATCCACAAGTCCAATTAATCCTGCCTCAAGGAACCGCTGGTCCAACCCCCCCCCCCCCCCCCCAAAAAAAAAAAGAGCCCTTCCAACATAACTTTTATGAAAGTAGATTAGAGCCAGAGATTCTGAGTTCTGGCAGTGTCCCCCACCCCCACCCCCAACTCTGCAAGGACATCACTGCTAGGACTGTTTGCTGAGCTGCATTGGGACAGCCTGGTGGCCAAGACAGGACAGTGAGGAAGGCTGCTGCTTCAAGGGAGTTTCCCAGCAACCTCCTGTGACATTTGAATAACTCATCCCTCTCTTCCTCCCTCCAGTTGAGCACTCATTTCTGCAAGGGTCTGTGGGCTCTGCTGCAGGCCAAGTAGGTGCCCCAGAGGCCTTCCTGGAAGGCACCTTTACATCCAAGACAGACTCCTGGTGATACCACACCCTCCCACTCCCCTGCCTCAGGTGAGGGAAGAGGAGGCTGTGCCTGATGGGCTTCATTTGGTTCCCCCATTCATGACGCAGGTCTTTTGGGGTACTGCTCTGGGATATCTCACTGGGCTACATTGCCCTACCCTGGGCATGCCAGCCAGTAGCCAGAGGGGGACAGATGGACCCTCCCAGGGGCCATCAGGGATTGTGTGAGAATGAGGTGTTGCTCAGGGAGTGGGTGCTTCACAGCCATGGTGGAGCACAAAATCCTGCTTCTCCCCAGGGAGCATATCATGACCTGGCATTGGCAGCAGCAGCCTGAACTCTGCCCCACTTTTGCCAGCATCTTGGAGCAACTTCAGTTGCTCTCAGGTGTGCCCTGTGACCTGCCACGATCACCTGGTCGTGGGGTCGGGAAGGAGGCCTGAAACAACACTGGGGCCCTGACTGCAGTGGCTCAGTTGGTTGGACCTCATCCCACTGGCTCCATCCCCAGTCAGGACACAGGCCTGGGGTGTGGGTTCAGTTCCAGGTTGGGGCAACCAATTGATGTTCCTTTCCCACATCAATGTTTCTCTGCCTCTTTCTCCCTCCCTTCCCCTGTCTCTAAAAATAAATAAATAAGATCTTAAAAAGACAGGAAAAAAACCCCACTCCCTCCCCTCCAGTTGCTTAACCATCCTATTACAGGACCCAATGTGCTGAATTCACCTCTGCCAATGGGGCTGGGGCCCACTCTGGAGGGGGAAGGGACTCCCTGATGGGGAAGTGAGCCTTTGGAGGGCCTAAGAGTCCCCACAGGCCCAGGAACTGAGTCTGGAGATCTTGAAGAGCTGGGAGGGAGATTCCTTGGCTCTTGGCTGCCCTCTGGCCTCAAACCTCCCCCCCACTCCTGCCCCAAATCCAGGGGACTCCAACCTCAGAACTTCTGAAATCCTGCTATGGCTGCTGGGCCCCAGGGCCAAGGGTGAGGGCACAGGCACTTGATGCTAGCAATGGTTCCTCCCTGCGCCCCTCCCTAGGTTTCTAGGTGGCTTGTTATTCCAGCAGCCTCTCCCCTGCCACCCCCGCCCCAGTTTTGCTGCATGCCTGGGCCTGTCTCAGGGCCGGCCTGCAGCACTGGACTTTCCATCCTGGAAACCAGACCCAGGCCTCCTGGGGAAGAGCCTGGCCACTCCCAGACTTTGAACTTTGGGACCAGAACAGAGGCCAACCCCCCTCCCTCAGGTGTGGGTGGTGAGTTGAGATTGCCTCCTGCAGGAAGCCTTGGCTGGATTGCCCTTCCCCTGTGAGCACCTTTCATCTGGGTAGTCTGCAGCCCTACAGATGCCTCTAATAGAGTCTTCTCATATCGTCCCGCAATCTGAGTGGACATAAGGGATGCCTGGGAAGTGAGAAAGAGGGGACCAGGGGAGGGAGGAGATGAGGCCTGAGTTGCCAAAGCTGATGTCTTTGAGTTTTATTGAGAAGGGGGGTCCATTGTAGTGTGGGAGGTTAGATCAATAGATCTAGTGCCTGCAAAATGAAATTCATTTTCTGGCCTCTCTGGAGAAGCACAGAGTCCCTCAGAAGAGCTGGGATGAGGAAGAAGCCCGTTGTGGCAGCCTACATCCCACCCCCACCCCCCCTGCATAAATTAGTGTCATCGGCTCTGGGACCACTTGGGTTTGTATGGGGAACAGCCTTGGTGCCTACAGTGCATCCCATAGTGTCTGGCACCTGGCCCTACAGGAACCTGTGAACCGCCCCAGCCTCTGGGTTTCAGTCTCTCCCCGGCATGCAGGGCGGGGACAAAGACGCGGGTCCATCTGCCAGACCAGTGGTCTGTGTGGGGACAGGGGCCGAGCCTCATCTGTCGGCCAGGCTGGCCAGGATGCCAATGAGATTGTCCAGCCCCAGCAAATAGCCGTCCTCGCGGTTGCCCTCCTCCCAGGGCCTTCGATGGTCCAGGGTCTCGCCGTCTGGCAGGGGCGTGGTCTTGCCGAAGTCAATGAGCCACACGCCGGCGCGATGGCAGTGATCGTGCACGAAGAGCAGCGAGCTGCCGATCACCTGCAGAGCCCCAGAAGGTCAGGCCACAGCCCTTCCCCTGGGAAAAGCGCCGCCGCGCTTTTCCGGTGCAGCCCTCACGGACCGCAGAGGTAAGAGGGTCAACTCTTACCTCGTGCCTCCTGAAGAACTCAGAGACTTCCAGCGTGTCCCGGATCTGCTGCAGGCGATTCAGATACCTCTTCTGGAGAGGGTAGGGCAGGAGAGGAGGGCAAATTAGCTAAACACCACCTGAGCTTCTGCTAACATTAGGGGCCAAGATGCATGCTTGGCTTGGTAAATACCAGTGGAGGAAAACACAGACCCTCAAGTGGCGCGCGGAACAGAAGGGAAGGAGCGCAAAACAATTACAAGACAAGGCGATAATAGGCTAGGGAGGGGTCACAGAGGCGAGGGCAACAGACAGGCTGGCTGGGGGCGCCCCTCGCTTTCAGGCTCCCCGACAGCTCGAGGTGCAGGGTCTGGCGCTCACCAGCACTTCCGCATCCCCTTGCACGAACTCCTCGAAGACCCGAATCACCTGCTCCCGGCTGCGCGTGGTCTTGAAGTCGGTGCTGCAGGATCCGTCTGCTTTCTTAAGGAGGTGGGACAGGAAGCGTCAGGGGCCCTTGCCCGACGGCGGGGAGAGGATCAGTTAGAGCAACCTCTCCAGACGGCGGAAGCCAGGGGCTGAGAGGCGGCCGCCGAGGGGCGCCGACTCCGGGGAGCTGGGGGCCAACCCCGCAGGCGGACGCCGCGGGGCGGAGGGAGGCGGGGCCGCGCGCGCGCACCTTGATGCCCTCGATGCGGAAGCCGAGCGTGGTGCTGGAGCTGATGCCCTCCCGCCACTGCATGTAGCGCGGCTTGGTGACGGCGCGCTGCGCGTGCTCCTCCTCAGTGGGCGCCGCAGGGTCCACGGCCAGCATCTTCTTGTACATATCCTTCCGCAACTTGGGCCGCTCTCGGGCTTTGGCCAGCTCCTCTTCCAGGTAAGTCCTAAAGAGGCACAGGCAGCGGCGGGGCGTGAGCGGACTCACCCCGGACCCGGCGGAGCGCCGCCCCGGACCCCCCGCCCGGTGGTCCCCGCACGGCCGGGCAGGGCACGCATACCTGATGCCCATCTTGCAGTCAAGCACGCAGGGGCCATCGAAGCCGTGGAGCAGGTCCTGCAACTGCAGGTAGCTCTCGCCGTCGCGCTCCACCACGCCGTGGAAGGCGGGCACGCAACCGCGCAGAGAGTCGGCCATCAGCCGCGCTAAGCAGTAACGCTCCTGTTCCGAGCTGCGCTTCAGGATCAGCCCGCTGGTACCCGCCGCCTTGAAACTCCCTGTAGACGGGGGCACTTGTTAGCGCTGCCTAGTCACCCCGGTCCCCGGGGAACACACCCTCCCCACCCGCGCCGGCCGTGCTCACCCGTGTGCCCAGCCAGCTGCACCCAGGCGTAGCGCTTCTTGAAAGGGCTCATGACCGGCAGATTCACCATGGTCCGGATCTTCTGCCAGTGGCTTTTCTGAAAGCAACACGGTCCGGGGCTCCTTGTCCGGCGTCTGGGCAGTGCATGAGCCCTCCCAACTCTGGAACAGGGACGCGGCCCGCCCCACCCCACGACAAGCAGCTAGGGCCTGGTAATTCAGTCATTTGCTCTCTCAGGAAAGTTGATTGTGAGCCTGTGTGGTGGACACTGAGCTGCACAAGGTGGTGACAGATATCTAGCTTCTCGAATGTGCCCTGGACTTAGCATCAGAAGGCTGAAAACCTGCGTGGGCCGGTAACTAAACTGCTCTGTCCAGGTTTTAGAACTTTTGTGAGTGTGAGAATCACCTGATGGTCACCCTTATTAAAAATGCAGATTCCTGGGTTTACCACAGGGAAATTCTGAGTAGGTCTGCGGTAGGACCAAAAATTTGCATTTTGGATATTCTGATGCCTCAGGATATTTTGGGGCCTGAGAAACATTGCCTCTGTGCATCAGAGTCTTCATCCGTAAAACAGGGAAATAACCGCTTTCACTGGGCTGTTGTGAGTAGTGAGTGAGGCTTGAATGTGTGACAAGCTTTCTGTCCTCCAACCTCATTTCCTGGCACAAAGTAGAAGCTGGACAAATCTGGATTGCTGATTCATTCACTTCGGGACCATAGGTTCCTCTCATACAGGGAGACAGACAATCACAGAAGCAAACCTCTACAAAGGCCCAGGGGGGGGGGGGGCCTGGCAATGTCTAGAGAAAGACAGACTTGTTTTTCCCAAAGCTGTCTGCTACCCCTGGATGCCATGCCACACTCCTCACCAGTTGGCAAGACCCAGAGCACTCTTGGTCCTAGTCTGGACCTAGAAACCTGAGCTTTGCAAATGGGAGGCAGAGCCCAGGGCCTGTCATCTTAGCTCAAACTGGGAGGGAAACGTAGATTTTGGTGTACCTCCTGCCTCATGACCATTTCTTCTGGCCTCCACCCCGTCCTGAAAGCATCTTATATTCTGAACCTTTCCTCTTCCCACCCCAAACCCATCATTCCTATGTCTACAGGTTTGTTGTACACAGGTTTGCTCATCCAAACCGGGTGTTGGCTGCCTCCTCCCAAGAGTGCCTGCTTTTAGAGGAGTTACACATATGTGCCCCCACAGGGCTGGAACCCCGGAATCCAGCCTCCCTGACCAGAGGGAGCTCTAAGAAGAAGAGGGAGAACTGGGGCAGTGGCTTAAGCAGGGTAAGGCTGCTGACCTTAGCCCTTTCCTGTGGATGAAGTGGGAGGTTGATGAGATTGAGTTAGTGACAGAGCACTGGACTGGGAGTCAAGAGCTGGTTCCAGGCCTGGCTTTGTCACTTTCTAGGCAAGTGAGTCCACACAAGAATTTCATCTGTACAATCCTGTTTCTTCTGCGAAGGCACAGCTGCTGCCATAACACAAGCCACCATTTACTGGCCGCCCACTGCATGCCAGGCACTTCTCAACCTCCACGAGACAGCAGTGCTCCTGC